GATCATACCTCGATACTTCTTTACGTCTACTTCCTTACCCTTTTCATCTTTTTCCAAATGCTCGGAGGTGCTCATTGGTGTAGCCATTGCTTTGGAACCATCCATTTCAAATCTCTTTAGGAGCTCCTTGCAATACTTTGATTGACAAATGAAGGTTCCTTCCCTCATTTGTTTGACTTGTAAGCCCAAGAAGAAATTTAGTTCCCCCATCATGGACATCTCAAATTCATTTGTCATTAGGTTTGAAAATTCCTTGCACAAAGATTCGTTAGTAGCACCGAATATAATGTCCTCTACGTAAACTTGCACCAAGAGGATGTTATCGTTTTTACTCTTGATAAAAAGTGTAGTGTCGACCTTCCCCCTTTTGAACCCGTTGTCCAAAAGAAATTTACTCAAACGTTCATACCAAGCACGAGGTCCTTGTTTAAGACCGTAGAGTGCTTTCTTTAGTTTATAGACATACTTCGGGTGCTCAAAATCTTCAAAGCCCGGGGGTTGATCAACATACACTTCCTCTTGAATAAATCCATTGAGGAAGGCACTCTTAACATCCATTTGGTATAGTTTAAAATCCATTGATGAAGCAAAAGCGAGTAATAAGCGAATAGCTTCTAAACGTGCTACCGGTGCATAAGTTTCTTCAAAATCAATGCCTTCTTCTTGATTGTAGCCTTTAGCTATGAGCCTAGCTTTGTTTCTAGTGATTATTCCATTTTCGTCGAGTTTGTTACGGAACACCCATTTCGTACCAATTATGGTGTGATCATTGGGTCTTGGCACCAATTCCCAAACGTCATTTCGTTTGAATTGGTTAAGCTCCTCTTGCATTGCCAAGGTCCAATGTTCATCATCAATTACTTCCGAAATGGTTGTAGGTTCAATTTGAGAAACAAAAGCCATGTGACCTACGGTGTCCCTAAGAGAGCTACGAGTACTTACCTTTCGGTTGATGTCACCGATTACCTTGTCAAGAGGATGGTTCTTTAAAGTCCTCCATGCCCTCGGCATTGGCGTTTCCTCCTCTTGAGGTTGTTCCTCGTTTTCGGGTGGCTCTCCTTCTACATCTTGGCTTTCCTTTGAGTTTTCTCCTTCGTCATTGTCGTTGAGATGTACGTTCTCCAATGAATCTACAAGATCATCACAAGAGACCTTTCTCGCCGAGCGAGCATCATTTTCGGCAAAGACAACATGAGGAGATTCCTCAATGGTTAAGGTGCATTTGTTGAAGACTCTATAAGCCTTACTACGCAATGAATAACCAAGAAAAATTCCTTCATCCGACTTTGCATCAAATTTACCCAAATTATCTTTTCCGTTATTGTGAACAAAGCATTTGCAACCAAAGACTCGAAGATGGGAGAGGTTTGGCTTTCTTCCTTTGTATAATTCATATGGGGTTTTCATGAGTATCGGTCTAATGACGGCTCGGTTTAATACGTAGCTCGCGGTACTCACGGCATCCGCCCAAAAATACTTAGGAATTTTTGCCTCATCAAGCATAGTTCTAGCCATCTCCTCGAGACAACGATTTTTACGTTCCACCACTCCATTTTGTTGTGGTGTACGTGGAGCGGAGAAGTTATGCTCGATGCCTAGTTCGTCACAAAACTCGGTAAAGAGATCTCGTTCGAACTCTCCACCATGATCGCTTCGTATGGCTACGGTGGTTAAGCCTTTTTCATTTTGAACCTTTTTGAGAAAAGTTTTGAAAACATGAAATGCCTCACTTTTATGAGTTAGAAATAATGTCCATGTGAATCGAGAGTAGTCATCAACGATCACAAAGGCGAAATAGTTTCCCCCAAAACTTTTTGTTCTTGATGGTCCAAAGAGATCCATGTGCAAAAGTTGTAGGGGCCTTGTTGTAGACACAACATTTTTCGATTTAAA